GGTTAGGTTAAGTTAGTTTACGTTTACGTTCGTACGTAGTAAGTAAGTAGTAAGTAAGTAAGTAGTAGACGAACGAACGAGTAGTAGTACGACTACTACTACTATATATATATATATATATATATATATATATATATATATATATATCTCAACCATTTAGGGTTGGCTACATGAATCCTATTTCGCTCTCTCAAGGGCCATACTCTCAGACTGTAAGTCACCATATCTTTTCTCACTACTTCTATCCATATCCTTTTGGGCCCTCCCCTTTGCCCTTTTAGAGCCTTAAACTTGAATTAAATCACCCCTTCTAATTGGTATTGTTCTACGTCGACGATGTACATGACTAGACTACCTTAGTCTACTTTCCCCCATCTTATCGCCTATTGGTGCTACCCTGAAGTTCCCCTTAGATGTCTTCATTTTGAATTCTATTCTTTCTTGTTAAGGTTGGGGCCCTAAACAATCAAATTAAATTGCAACTTACAAATTCACTAGAAGAGGTTGTTTCGATGTCAAAAAACCCTCAAATCGATTATCTCGACCTCCAGATGTATATACGTGAAAAAGAATGGATCTTAAGTCTGGGAAATAGTGCATCTTGTAATTCATTATCTAGGACATCAATTTTCAATATTTTCAAGTATTTATAGATCTGCTCTAAATAGTGTCGGAAGATGATTTTTCAATAGCAAATATCTTTGTGATAGCCTGAAAATTTATTTTCATCTCTAACGATAAGGAAATGTATACAATGAGGCCATTTACCCTTTGTACAAGGTGGTCACAATTCCTTATAACCATTTGATGTGAGATTTGATAGCTTGGATGTGTCACAAACTTTTAGAAATTTTCTTTTGAAGTTTGAACTTGGTCAATAGAATAATTGTAACCACCCAATTTCACATCCAATGGTCAAGATTAATGTGACCACCTTGTATCAACCTTATATCTGATCCTCTTTGTTTTCTTTTAGTTTGGGATAAAATTTGATGAAGTTACGGTTTGAAATTTCAAATTTTGGAGAGATTTTGCTGTAGTTTTTTTATTTTTTTGTGTCCAAATATTGATTGCTGGCATGGTCAACTTCCTGGATAAATTCTGGGATGAAATGCCATTGTTTTGACAATTTTCCTAATTTTCAGTTTGTAGATGGTTGATTGTTCTCTCTGTGTCAACAATGAAGGGTAAAACTGTCATTTATATTACCTATATGTGGTAAAGTTGATATTTGCCTCCTACTTTGCCATGTATTTGTACTGATCTATTTCTGTATAATATGGCTTGTATTTCTGTAGAATGCAATAGTTAATACCTATTTTGTTGTATAATCCCTGTTGTTTAGCAATGTGGTAAATTGGATTTCTGGTTATGTATTCTAAATTTCCTTATCATATGGGTTTAGAGATATCATGTTTGATTCCTTCTGTTTACTGTAGAATTGATGTTGTGTGTTAATATTCTTAGTGTAACTTAAGTTAATATATTATATTTGGATCTTCTGGACGATCAGAAATCACTAATGCAGTATCATTCATTAGTTTTTATTTAAGGGAAAGTGTCAGTTTCATGAATTGATGTCGAATGCTGGTATACTTTTGTGTATCAATGCATTGACTTAGAGAGGACGGGAAGGAGGAGAGAGAGAAACTAACACGGTACACCTACCTGGACCTAATAAGATGTATGAAATGGAAAACATCCTCATACTCCATAAAACGTATTCCCGTGTGTATGATGCAACATGTAATCTATTTTTTTTCTTGTCTAATCACATGTATGGACAGAGTTATTATACATGTTCATGCTTACACAACAATAACAGACTTATCTGCAGTCTGAGAGTGCTTGAACCTGTCACGAGTACTGCTGACATACATGAATACTCACAAGTACTGCTGCTGAACTTTGTTTATTACATGTTTTCATCAAAGTTTATGGTCTGCATGTCTTGTGCAAGGCCCTGTTTAGGTTTTGCATGAGCATGCTGGAAGGTTTGGAAGCATTAAAATAGTTCCTTTTCTATTTGGTGTTAGTCCTACTCTATAATGACATCAAAAAGCATCATGGTTCTACTGGAAAATGAGTTTTCCCTTGCTTGCTTATGCATACATTAGTTGATTGCTGTATATCTTTCTCACTTTTGTGAGGTAAGCTTTTTCCCCATGGGCATATTGAAAATTTGATTATCAGGAAATTCTTACTTCAAGTCATTTGGTCATTCATTCAATCTGTATTCACCGTTGTTTTTTTCCCATTTGTTCTTATTTGCAGGTGTAGATCATCTAAGAGACATTTTCTATAGGATGGGACTTACTGACAAGGATATAGTTGCGCTCTCTGGAGGCCACACTTTGGTACTCTCTCTCCTTCCCCCTCCCCTTTCTCGCTCCACATGCATGATCACACATACACACTCTATAACCCCAAACCCCCTGACACCCACCAATCTACTATGTCTGATATGGGTTATTCTTTCAGGGTAGGGCTCATCCCGAGAGGTCAGGATTTGAGGGGGCATGGACTAATGATCCTCTTAAATTTGACGACTCTTATTTTTTGTAAGATCGATGGCTAATTTTCTTTTGATATCAATGCCAAGTATGGGATACCAATGTCTGGGTTTTTTTTTTAAATTGCCAAAGTAACATTATCATAACCACTTTGGATTTTACTTTTTTCAGAGAGCTACTGAAGGGGGAATCAGAGGGACTGTTGAAACTCCCCACTGACAAGGCTCTGTTGGAGGATCCTGTGTTTCGTGAATATGTCGAGCTCTATGCAAGGGTGAGTTGCTGAGGTGTGGATCATTTATTAGGAAAAATAACTGTGAAACTTCTCAGAACTTTGAAATGAGTATTTTACACCTTTCTGAAATTTAGTTTATAACATGGCTGACTTCCTTTGCTTTACCATTGTGTACATTTCGAGTTTGGTTTCTTTGAGAATTTTTTACACTTAAAGAGATCTAAATTGTGATTTCGTTAGTTTTCTAATGTTGCTCTGTTCTTTTATTATTGGATTGTGGCAGGATGAGGACACCTTTTTCAGAGATTATGCGGAATCTCACAAGAAATTGTCTGAACTTGGGTTTACGCCTCCAGGGTCATTGGGGTCCAAAACAGAAGCAAATACGAGTTTGATACTGGCACAGAGTGCTGTCGGAGTTGCTGTTGCAGCTGCAGTTGTGATCTTGAGTTACTTCTATGAGGTCAATAGAAGGGTTAAGTAAAATATTCTCCTGCTTGCTTTGATGAGGAGATGTTTTTCCTCTCTCTAGTAGTTGAAGTCTTAGAAATCATATTATCAGACGATTCACATCAGGGTACAGCAGAATACTGTTTGAATAAGAAAGAGCATGCTGTGACATACTTTGTGTTACAAAGTACAAATAAACTAATAATGCAGCAAAATACAAACAGTTATTGAAGTAATAATGATGATCATGGCTATGCTGGTGTTAGTAGAACGTCATGTAAGCAACATAAGCAATGGCATAATTGCAACAGGGACAGGGTTTCATTCTCATTCCAATGCAAATCCAACTCTTCCAATAAACAATTTTTAGTACCCCCCAGTACTCAATATGCATAACATGTTTCTGATCCAAGAGTGGGTCCGTTTCTTTATATGATGTGCTGCCAATGCATTTACTATCTGCCATTCAGATTGAAATACAATGCTGTCTTCTCATGGTTCTCATATTAATTTTTGAATAGGCCATCTGTGCCAGTCAGTTGTTATGTGTCACAATATTTGCTGAAGTTAATTTTTGTTTTGCATGCTACACAACCTTTTGGGTTTAAAATCGAATGCTAGCCATCTCCTTTTTCGTTAATGTGATTATTGAGTATCAAGGAGTTGTGGCTAGCACTGTTTTAAACAAAAATTGTAGCACAATACGCTTATTTCCATATTAGAAGGAAAATATTTAATTTGATTGATTGTTAACCTTTTTGTGCTGCATAAAGGTAACCAGCATGGACATCCTCGACTGTCAGATGTGATGTGGCTCTATCATTTACTGTGTTATAAGAATTTTCTTGAACTTTCTTCGGTTCCCAGCCACACATCTGACGGCTTAAAGCGCATCTTTTTTCCCCTTGTACTGTTGTAGCTAATCCCACAATGCAAGTCTATTTCTCATGTATTTGGATTCTATATGTAGAAGCAAACTATTTTCTCTACACGCACAGTAGAGAGACTTGCACATACATAATTTGAGGATAAATTAGAAAAATTGGAGAACATAGGGATGTTTTTGAGCAAAAAAAACTGATCCAAATTATCCCCCTTTTCCTCGATTGCGTTTAAAATATCCATTTGATGAATGCTCATATCATGGGTTTCAACTTCAAATTATATTTTTTTTTTGCTATGGGATTGTATACAATAAGAATATTTATCTTTAGAATAAGGAGATCGCAACTAATTCTAATCATTAAATATCAAATCCGACAGATTAGAGTTCAAGAATTTTTTTTTTTAAACTTTGAATTTAATCAATAGTACACTCTCAGCCTTTTGATTAAATCTAAGAACCAATAATGATTGTTACCTCATTTTTCAAAAGATAAATGATTTTATTGTATACATTTAATTTCTAATTGGCACAAGATGAATCAAAGATGATTCGATCACTAATTCCAACACTTAATTTCTGTTTTTTTTTTGGCATCCATCCCTAGTAAAAAAATGACTTTGTTATGACAAAAATATGCCCTCGAACCGATGTTTCTCTTAGCTTTATACAATGAAGTCGGTGCGGCACATATCAGCTTCATTATAAACAATGAATCCGATAAGGCAGCCATTCTAATTCACTTTGGGTCAAGGGGGTATTATTTATAATTTTCCCTAAACAATGCTCTTTCCTACACGGGACTACACCAATAGTGCCCTTAAAAAAAAAGGGTGTTAGGAGATGGAGTTGAGTTATGGTCTTTTAAAGCCATCTCTGTTTTTAAGTGGGAATTGAATTATTTTCCTTTAAAGCCACCAATGTTTTTTAATTGGGAAGGAAGTGTTGGTGTTAATATCAACGGGTTCGGTCAAAGGAAAATGTCTTTCCTACACTATCACAATCAGGGGAGGTCCTGTAAGCATATGTTTTTCCCCTCTGGAGGATTTTTTTTTTCCCTTCCTTTTATAGATCAAAAGTAGCCAATACGGTACTAAAATTTCCCCATTTTTCTCTTTTGATCTTGAATAAGAAAGAATTTGAAAAATAATATTTTAAAAGCGTGGTACATTGGGCAATATTCTTTATATTTTCATACTCTAAAATAGAAAAGTATCTTTTATGCAAAAAAACAAATATATCATCCATTTATTTCAAAATAATATGAGAAAATATCAGGCACACAAACTATTCTCATAAATGAAGGTCTCATTAGACTGGATTATTTACTCATATGTACAATAAGATCCATAAGGTGCTGAGCCAACAGTCCTATATAACAATTGGTAATGCAAAACCCAGATAGTATACATTTCTTTGGTATTCGTAAATGTCCAATGCATTTTGGGCCTTTGCATGCATCTCAATTCAAATACATGCTCGATAGACAAGTCAATCTCATAAGTAGCTACACTTAGACACTTGTGTAGGTGAGTCTATTAGAGTAATAGCTCAACCTCCATTCACATCAGTTATCACTGCAATAAAAACCGAAAGATTCGTGCATCATGGCATCGTCTGTACCATGTGCAACAAAGTATTGCTGTGACACATATATTGATGTAATCTATGGGACTGTTTGGCATTAGAATTAAGCAAGTCCTTTGACCTGAAGGACTTGGGGCCATCGTAGTAGATTTTGGGCATGAAAATTGAACATTTCAGGAAACTCTAAAAGTTATAGTTGTCACAGGAAAAATTTATTGAATGGGTACTTTTCAAGTTTAATATGAAGAGCGCAAAGCTAGTTAGCACGCAACTTACAGGATACTTTAAGTTGAGTGCAAGACAGAGTCCTTCAAATGAAAAGGAAAAGAAAGAAATGGAAGATATAACCTTTGCTTCAGCGATAGGGAGTTTGATAAATGTCATGATGTGTATAAGACTAGACATAGTATATGATGTGGGTGTGGTGAGTAGATTTCTTTCCAAGCCTAGCAAAGAGCACTGCACATCAGTAAAATGGATTCTTAGATATCTCCAGTGCATATCTAAATTATGTTTATGTTTTGGAAGTGAAAAAGTTGTGCTAGATAGATATAGATATGAATACATGACTGGAGATCTCGATACCAGGAAATCTACGTTAGGTTACTCATTCACTTTTGCAAGGGGAGCTATGTAACGGCAATCCAAATTGCAGAAGTGTGTTGCGACAGAGGAAGAATATATAATGGCTACAGAAGCAGGCAAAGAAATGTTGTGGATGAAGAGGTTAATAAAGGAACTTGGTTTGAAGCAAGATAACTATGTGGTTCATTGTGATAATAAGAGTATTATTAATATTTGCAAGAATGATGTATAGCATGATAGAATGAAGCATATGGATGTCTGCTATCACTTGATACAAGCTGTCTCAAAGAATAACTTGAAGCGAATAAAGAAAATTTGTACCAATCACAATCCATCGACTATAATGACCAGGGCCCTAACAAACGATAAACATGAGCTTTGTGGGTACGTGGATGGCATGGGTGCTACTTGAGCACATGTTTAAGGGGCAAGAGATTCACTAAGCAGGGGGGGAGCCCTCCTCATGCACCTAGAAGGGGATATTGTTATGGATTTTTTCAAAAGGCCATGGACTTCTAGCTCCATGAGGTTGGCGCCTATGTTTTGGGAAAGAAAAATTAAAAGGGTATTTTGGAAAAACAATTAGAATAATTAAGAAAAAGAGTCTTTCTTAATTTTCATGAGAGGTGAATAATTTTTTTTTATAGAGACAGGTTAAAATCCTTTGTTTCTCTCTCTAGGGTTTTTTTGATGTGCAGAAAAATTATTGAGGGTTTTTTTCTTCCAAATATCACAAAAGGCTTAGAGCTTCCTAAATGATTGAAGTTGGTGTTCTCCAATGAGGGTTAGAGAGAAGTTATTCTTTTGAGAAGGGGAGGAAGATGAAGTAGTTCCCATAGAGCTAACCCTGTATTTTTCTCTTTTTTTTATTCCTAATCCTTAAGTTAAGGCCAGTTAATTTGGGAAGATCTATTGTAATTATTTTATGCATAGTGAATTTCATTTGTGGTGCCCCATTATTTTTCCCTTCTTTGAAGGGTTTTCCACCTGAATCTTTGTGTTAGGTTTGTTTTTTATTTTCAGCAAATTTTTATATTTTTATTTCTTGTATATTTTTTATTTATTTTTTGATTCACAAAGACGGAAAGGAACTACTTCCTTATGGGCTTTACTTATTTTGATAGGGCTGCAGCCCTATCAAACGAATTGAGAAGTGATAACGTATATTTTATTCTTTAAAATGAAGATCAGCTAAACCCCTTGACTGGACGCAAAGAGAGAGATGGAGTTTTAGAGAGAGAGATGGAGCTTGAATAGGGTGTCATTTTAGTATTTGTTTGGGTAAAAAAAATTATGGTCAAAGGGATCTACGGGGTTGTAAGATAGAAAAGATGGATACATTTTGCTTACAAGTAATATTTTCAATTTTTAGGTCTCATAAGATATGGAAGTTAAAAATAAGAGACAAAGAGATATTTTTCTTTTATTTTAATACTTTTGTTTTTCTGTGTTTGTAGTTCAAATGAACAAAGAGGATGTCCTTTAATTCTGATATAGAAATAAATAATTGAATTCTATTTTCAATTATGGGATATAGGATCTATTGTATCCCCTTTGGGGTTCGAGGGTGCCGCCACTTGGATTCGAATCGAGATGCTCTAGCACTGCTTCCTAAGAGCTACTGATTTCACCATGGCGGCTTTATAAAAGTAATATTTGCCAATCCATATTCAATCGTCAAGATTTGAGGTAAGAGTCCTATTAAAAATATATAGAGGTACTACACTTAATGATCTTTCGAATTGGTTAGGACTCTCCCGTTTATGGCTGCTTCTATATGGTACCAATAGCTGCTTCATTGAATTTGCTTCATTAATTGACTCGCGATTCGACTTTGATCGTTATGGATTGGTACCAAGATTGAGTCCTACGCAAGCCGACCTTATTTAACAGCCGGCACAGTGACAATGAAAATGGCTCCTTTAGTAAATATAAGAAATGTCAACAACAATTCAATTCTGTCTAGGATCGTGGTTGGGTATTTTGTTGGTTCATACAAATTGAAGTTAAAAAAGGCTCGTACCCAACATGTAATCGTAGCAACAGTTTCTATTTCTATTTCTTAGGTTTGGAAATGGAGGTTTCTAAACTTTTGGGTTGTTTGTTTGTATAAATCCATCATTTGGGAGGATTTTCCTCGTTAGTTTGGGTGCATTCCATGTAAGAGCGACTGCATCCTTTGGACTGAATACCATGTTACAACTCATCCATGAGAATTAAACAAAATCCTGGACATACATAGACTGTCTTTCTCATTTTTACCCTCATCCCCCTTTCCACAACACAAACAACACTGGAAATCAGATTTATGGATCAACCATAACACATGCAAGTATCTTCATCCTGTCAAGGCATATTATTTCAATTGGAAGCTCTCCCTTTGAAATTTCGAGAAATCTTATCCCAAATCTACTTCTGATGGATCTAGTGCTGACCCTTTGCATCCATATTAATGGTGCTCACTCATCATTCACCCCTAAAACACTACTCATAAAGTCTTCACCCCTCTCTCATGCTGCTGCCCAAGCTGTGTTATGCTGCTACTACAATAAATAAACCATTAGGTAGCAGCCAAATTCAGATTCAAACACCCCAAAATTCTTTACAGTCACACTATAAAACTAAGTGGATTATAGTATCACCTTAGAGAACGTTTGCATCACATCTAGTTCTCCATTCCCTCCACCACTGTAACATCACATTCCTTGACATCTGCTGCTACCTTGTAGTACCAGTTGCTCAATTCATTTCATTTACGGCATTTGATTTCAACAGTTGGCAGAAAATAGACAAAAGGCAAAGTAATATCCACAGGTAAATTCATGTCTATCTCACCATATTCCCATCTATTATCCATTTAATATAGTTGTTATCTACAAGGGGTCTTAACCTCGTCACTTTGCGTCACCTCCAAGCACCCATTGATCAAACAAACCCATGCACCCCCACTAATTCCTCAACCTTGTGAGCCTAAAAGGTTAACCAAATGACAACTACCGAGTCCAAATCCCACTCCTTTTGAGTATAGCTGGAACCCTGTACTCCAAAACCACAATTTTGAGAATCAGAAGTACCCACTCCCCTACTCTTTGGTGTCACTTTGTCATCACAAAATATATACCAATGCCTCCACTGTTTCTGCAAAATCACTGATAGGGGTTTTGATGATGAATTCAACATTGAGGTCTCTGATAATCATCTAATAATCACAAGCATTGATTGTATAGAGTCGAAGCTCTAAACAATCAAAGTACAGTGCACTTTCAAATAGTGTCGATAAATGTGGTTTTAATACTGGAAATCTTTGTGATAGCCTTTAAATATATTTTTATCTTTAATTATAAAATTTAAAGGTTAAAAAATAGTATAGATCGAGCGGATCTATGAAAAATTGAAAATCTTGAAAATTGATGGTCCAAAAATGCATGACAAGATGCACTATTTTCAAACGTGAAATTTATTTTTTCTCATGTCCATGCATCTTGATTTTAAGATGGTCAATTTAAGGATATTTGGGTATCAAAACAACCTCTTCTAGTGATATTTTTGAGGTGGGCTCTAATTTGATTTTTTTAGAGCCTCGGCTTTATATACACTTTTTGCTCGAGCTAATATGTGGTTGTAAATTTTTATTACTTTCATTGCTTGAGTTGGGAGTACTTTAAGGCCACACCCTCGGTTGTGAAAACAGATGGACATGCCGTCCCTTGAGTATTTTCAATTATAGGTACATAATTTTTTTCACTTCCCTAGCACAATAGAAGGGGAATTTTGAACAGTAATGTTCTCCCTTGAGTCTTTTCAATTATTATTGATAGGTAACAAATTATATTTAGGGAAAATTTCATACAGAACTCTAATTCCCCATCTTATTTCATGTTAGACCCTCCTTCTATTTTCTTTCAAGCGGCATAAAAAAATATCTAAAGATTTCACGATACCCTTTCATTTCTTATCTCCCTTATTTATTCACTTTTGGCTATAAAAATTAGCCCCAACAAACATTTTTATACCATTTCAACCAAAAAACGTTCTAAAAACATTTCAAAAACTTTTTTAACCCACCCCCATCATAATCTCCCACTCCATTATATCTTTTAACCCAAAAGGTTCAAAAATATTTTGAAAAATATACCTTTTCAACCCCTTAATGCCATGTTGAGGGCTCCCTATCTCTCTATCTCACATTGGGTTGAAATGATATAAAAATGTTTATTGGAGCTAATTTTTATGGTCAAAAGTGAATAAATGATGGAGATAAGAGATGTGGAGGTACGGTGAAATCCTTAAAGATTTTTTTATACTGCATGAAAGAAAAATGAAAGGAGGGTCTACCATGAAATAAGATAAAAAATAAAAATTCTGTACGAAATTTTCCCTATTTACTTCCCTAGCATAATAGAATATGTAAAAGGGAAAATTTGAAGAGTACTACTCATATTCGTATAATGGAAGAAATTTAAAAGAGCTTTCATGGAAAATAGTTACTCCACAAACTTCACGTTTTATGATCAAATTCAGGAGTTCCTGCATTCAAGATGTTCAAATTAAAAACGCATTTCTTATAATAGTTGTGCTCTTGCAAGCACGACTATTACCTTTGGATTCAACACTTTTCATGATCAAACTGCATATGCTAAAATATCATAATCCCATATATTGGATTTTCTCTTTCTATTCAGGTCTGAGAAATTTCGACTGTGTTCTAGAAGTTAGAAAAGGAAATCATTCCCATTTGTCTTGGGGGTTCATGTAAGAAAACAAACTCATGTGTAACAAACTTATAATAGTTGTGCTCTTGCAAGCACGACTATTACCTTTGGATTCAACACTTTTCATGATCAAACTGCATATGCTAAAATATCGTAATCCCATATATTGGATTTGCTCTTTCTATTCAGGTCTGAAAAATTTCAACTGTGTTCTAGAAGTTAGAAAAGGAAATGTAAGAAAACAAACTCATGTGTAAGGAATATATTTGAAACAATGAAGGCTCTTCTCATTTGGGTCGTTACAATTTACGACAATCGATCCTCCTGTTATACAGAATACAAATCAATCCAGAACCCCTTTCAATGTGAAAGGTGATTTGAGTCCTACCTGATTTCAAGTTAAATAACGAGAAGGAAATAATATAGAAGAACAGAGATAAATGGTATCCACAACCCTTTCCTTGGAAGGTCAGAAGAGCCACAAGGCCACATGCCTAGTTCAACTCCGGAAAGAGGAGAAAAAGCCCATATCCTCCAGCTACATTAGCTTGTTTAAATTAAACAAAAAAGGGATAACAAAATAATATATTAAGTTAAACAATTTCAGGCCTTCACATTCAAAACCAGCCTTCGGTGGACTTGTCTTGGATAAATAACTGATTCTCTTGCTTCACAGCCAATTGCAGCTGCTAGAATGGCTTCTTCAAACTCCTTTGAGTCTGGTAAAGCATCAATATAGTCAACTGTCTCGAGAGATGAAGATCGTGCCCTCTTTAGATTGTTCTTTTCTAGGTGATTCCTTGCCATCTTTGAAATAAATGGTGGGGCATCAACATTAAGAGAGTTCTTATTCATCAATGAAGCTTCATGTTTCCGTAGCGGAGGAGAAAGAAGCCCATTATTCCTTCGATTTCCTCTTCCAATGTTAAGATCCAAATTTTCATCATGAAACCCATCGTGCTTCTGGTTTGAGGGAAACAATGGTGGTGGTGGAGCTGGTAAACAGGGCTGAGGTTGCCATACAGAGGAAAAATTCAAAAAGGCCTCAATGGCCTTAGTAAATGTATCTGGGCTATTAATTGATGGGCTGTCGAGGTCTTTGAGCATCTCTTGTGCCCTTTCGTAGGCTTTTAAATGAGAATCTGCTCTCAAGCCATCTGCAACAGCAGGCTTAACACATCGTAGAGTTGCTTTGGCCTCCTCTATCCTCCCTTGCTTCATCAGACAAATCCCCAGGTTACACATCTTATTGTTATCTAATTCCATTGAAAGGGCCTTCCTATAAGCTGCTTCTGCTTCCACATGGTTGTTCTGTTGCATTAGAGCCCAACCCAAATTTCCCTGCAAAGATAAAAGCACATAGATACTAGTTAATTTCACAACATTGTTTAATGTAAATCCAATAGTAGGAGAAGAGTACAAAACAAGAAGATCAAACATTTTTTCAATTCAATTAATACCAGCAATCTTGTGGCCTCCTGTTCTAAAGAGACCTGAAACTTTTTTCCATGAGATCTGGCTGTCTTGGTTCGCTTGCCATTGAATGCCATGCCTTGGTTGATAAGAAGCAATTTGTGCTTCAGGAGAGCGACCTGATCATCTAATCTCCCACACCTCTGCAATTAAGAAAAGAAGAAGAAGAAAAGAACAAAAAGTGTGTGTGTGAGAGAGAGTCATGTTTCTATGGTATTAGTTTACAAATAAAGGCACAAAACAAATCTACAAAATGGGTATGAAAACTTCCATTTGGGGAGCATGAGGGAAACTTGACCTTATAGAGATCAAGTAGGATATTATCCAGGGACTCCTGGGCTTGATCAGAACACTTGCTTCGAAGTGATTTTATCGCTTCAATTGCCTCTTCAGGCCTGTTCTGCTGCTTCATAACAATGGCCATGTCCTTGAGCGCACTGTCAACTCGATCCCCTGCATTGATGGCAACCCAAAACATGACAATTGCCCTTGCAGGATCCTTCTCTATGAGCTGTTCACAAAACAAAGCAAAGAACCCAGATGGATTAGGTAGGACAGCATCAAGAACAAGAAGAAATAAAGGTCGTCAAACCCAACCAAAAAAGTATATGACAGGAAATGTTCTTCTCCACAATTCTTTATTAGTTTCACAATCCAACTCTAGGTCTGCAGTTTTAATCATGAAAATTGAGGAAATCAAATCCATGAGAAAAAAAAACCCTTCTTTCCCTTGATTTCCTTTCACATTAGGTTCTCTGGTATCCACCCTTGATTTCCTTTCACATCAGCTCCTTTGGTATCCATTTTTTAGCATTGTGAGAAGCCCTAGTCCAGTTCTTCGAATGCTTGTAAGGAAGGGTATGTTACGGCATAGACTGGGCTCGTGTCTATGATTTCAATTTAATGGGAGACAATAGAGGTAGAAAAATATCCAATAACCCCATGTTATTCCTAATTAATCCATATTTGGCAATCAATCTAACATGGTAAATAAATGCAATAAACTCCACTGAAGTAAAACTAAAGTAGTGTTTATAACTGAAAAACTACTCATTCAAGCATCAAATAAGAGAAACTGATGCAAAATGCGACTAATCGAAGAATTAACAATTGAAAAGGTGCTAAGCTAAAAAATATAGATTTAGCTCCAAAAACATTCAGTGGAGCAAAAAGCCACTGTCAAAATCAGATGTGCAACTACCAATTAACTTTTGGAAATAAGTAAGAAGCAGGTTGAAGAACAAAGAAATTTCAAAAATAAAAAATGAATAAATGGAAATGATAATGGCCTACTGCTACAGTAAGCATAATAAATTAAAAGAAAAACTCTAAAGCAAATGCAAAAAATTTTGCAAAGAAAAAGAACTAGCCAATTTGGTCAGTTTTGCTAGAGAAACATTTTCACTCTAGTACAGAGACCACACAATACTAAAAACTATAATGATAAGATTTAAAAAATGCATTGAACTAAATGGCAATGTGAGAAATTAACAAAAACAAGAATTTCAACACCTAGGAATCCATGCAAACAAAGGAAAGTTGATGCACAACTAGTAAAGCAATTGTGATGATCTATTCAGCAAATAAATAAAACTAAAAACCAATCAGTTCAACAAAAATAGCACCAAAGGAATAATCAAATGAGAGTATAAGAAAAATAAATACATAGTTCTTACAAGATCTAAAAAATTATTTTAAGAAAAGAAAGTAGCATAGTAGAGTCATCAGAAATCAAGAATTCCATGGCCGATTGAGAACCCAGACAATAGAAATAGGAAAACATCACATAAAAAGGAATTCATCCACGAATTATCATAAATAATGAAAATTCAGTACTATCAACGAAACAGATACTCAATTCCAATGATCTTCCCTCACAAAAAAGAAAAAAAACAAATAACTAGTACAAAGAAACCCAAAAAAACTTAAATCCCCATGAAAAAGAAAACCCACTACTATTGGAGAGGGAGAATTTACCTGAACACGTTTGGCCCTGACATAAGGGCCATCTCCAATAGGAACTTTATGAAGAACATGCGCTGCATCTGGGTAGGTATGAGTCCTCTGAAGAATAGGCTTCATGGGTGAACATGGAGCCGATTTGGAAACCCTATTTTCCAAGGGAACAGGGTTCTTCCACAGCTCCATGGCCACAAGTTTTGCAGATGTCTCCTCAGCACAAACAATGAGAGAGAGAGAGAGAGAGAGAGAGAGAGAGAGAGCTTTCTTTGCAGATATCTCCTCAGCACACACACACACACGCATATGGAGAGAGAATGGCGGTTTAGTTTGGTGTAAAAGAGAGCCCCCTATTATTCCTTCCATGTCCGAATATAGCCGTTAAACTAGCCGTTGGAGGGAGAGTTTAAAATTATGAAGTCATGTTTTTTTGATGCTTTGGGTCGGATTGCACTGGGAAAATACAAAGCCGTTACGCCTTCGCAGAGCGCCACCCGTCAAGATAAAATTACAAAATCACCACTACACTTTTTCAAATAAGTCGTTGTTGTCCTTCTGTAAATTGGAAGGTTTGGAACGATTTACGGTATTACTGTAGCAGGGTTAATTCCTTAAAGTATAATTTGGAGTAATTTAGACACATATCCTCCTAGTTTGGAGTAATTTTTATTTTTTTTGGACTCTGGCATTTACGTTTACACCTTTTCTTTTCTTTTTAAATTTTTTTATACTTTTTTTTTTTATTTTATTTTTTGGAGAAATTATCGCAAATATACTTAAATTTTAATAAAATTGTAAAAAAATCTCTAACTTCCCAAAACTTCATCCACACCCTTTTTTCCAATTTTTGGATTTTTTGGATGACAATACTTTTTACGGTAGTCTTTCTACCATAATACATTTTGATCTTTACGGTAATTTAAACACAGTTACAAATTGAGATAGTATTACGGTATATAAAATACCGTAATAGTATGAAGTTATATTACGGTACTTCGTGTACCGTAATAACTAATCTTCGTTTTATAGTATTCTTAATACCGTAATTATTTGAATTAATATGGTAATTAAATTACTATAGTGTATAGTGAAGTCCTTATGGTATTTTTATTACTTGAAAAACTTCAAACCGAAGCTAATATCAAGGTTAGCTTCTCCTCCCTGTCCTACCTATGAACTTTTTGGCTGTATCACTAGAATTTCCATTGTTTTTCTTCTCCGTCTTCTCATCTTTCTCTGATGCTTGCCCACCAGATACCACAGCAAATACTGTACCAAATCTATAGAGAGAGAAAGAATGTCAATTAGAGAGAGAAAGATGGAGAAATTGTCAGCAAATTGGTAATTGTCGGCAAAAATACTTCGTTTATGGCAACATCGCACTTCGCAATACATGGGTTGTGTGAGTGAGAAAAATGAAATCAAGGGATAAACGGCTGCAATCACCGTTAATGGCAACACAGCACTTCGAAAGATATTTGTGTCGAGAATATGAAGAACAAGTTCCACTTCTCTACACTACAAGGGTAGAGAATAGGTACGAAAGGCAGAAAGATGGAATGGACACCAAATAAACCAGCTTGCATCAAAAGCTTGGCAGTTTGCTTACCGCTCTCTTGTCCTGCAATTTTTGTCCAAACTGATATCAAATCCTAAAAACAAGAGATAGATGACTGGCCAATCGGTAGATTCTATTCAATCCATTAGATTCTTGTATCACAATATCAGTCAAGAAGTTCACAAAGAGGAGAGGGGTGACCCTGATATTAGTTTCGATTTGAAGCTTCTCAACTTATTACGGTAATAAGAATACCATAAAGTCTTTACCATACACTACGATAATTTAATTACCGTAATAATTCAAACAATTATTACATTAGGAATACCGTAAAAAGAAGATTAGTTATTACGGTACTCAGAGTACCGTTATATAACTTCATATTGTTATGGTATTTTATATACCATAATACTATCTCAATTTGTAACGGTATTTAAATTACCGTAAAGATCAAAATGTATTACGGTAGAAAGACTGCCATAAAAGGTATTTTTGTTTAAAAAAAGCCAAAATTTGGGAAAAAAAGGTGTGGGAGAGGTTTTGAGAAGTTGGGTTTTTTTTGCGATTTTATTAAAATTTAGGTATATTAGCGATAATTTCCCCTTTTTTTTTTTTTGGCCCAAAATGCCATGACCTCATCTTTAAAATTTAAAATTCCTATGGAAATTTTTGTTTTTGAAAATTCAAAAGTTTTTTTAGCCCCTAGGACACAACGGCCCCACTACCAGTAGAACAAAATGAATTTTGGATTAGCAGTGAAATTTTTAATTTTGCTTAAAAAATACCTGATATTATTTGTGGCTACCCTACTTACATGTCCCACATCTAATCCATAAAATATAAAAATAAACTCCTAAATTTTAATACATTCTAAGGACCCACTCTTAACTACCTTTGAACACAAAATGCTTTTCATAAAATAAATGAACAAAATTTTGACAAGGTTAAAAACTTTTATTGAATGAGTGTGCAGAAAGCATACTATGATGTGGAAACGGATTAATTCGGTTCGATCTCTCTTTCTATTTTATAGTAGAATGAAGGTGGGGAATGGCTTCTGCACTAAATTATGGTTTGGCCACTGGTGCTAGGTGATGTTCCCCTTAGAATCCAATTTCCGAACATCTATCGGTGGGCTGATGCTAAACACGCTTTGATCTTTGAGATGGTCGAAGGTCAGGGTCTAAACTGTATTTGGAAGATTAGCTTGATGGTGAGAAGGGTTGACGAAGCCATGGAATGCCAGTTTTTTGCCTTGCTGCAGCAGCTCAATTCTTTTTGCTGTTTTCCATACAGAGATGACTATATTATCTGGAAGCTCAACCCCAATGGTCGATTCTCAATAAGGTCCCTGTATCATGAAGTTAGTAATGATAGGATCTTCGACTTGAGTAACAGAAACACAAAGGTATGGATTATTAAGATCCCTAAAAGGGTCAAATCGTTCTTATGGCTATTGGAACAAGCAAGGGTTCTAACGGGAGATAGGTTGAGAAAGAGAGGCAAACTTTTGGTTAATGTTTATTTCCTATGTTTTCAAGTAGATGAGGATTGCCATGTATTCTAAGGCATCGACCTTTGACGTATCCTTGTACTGCTGCACTGCGGTGTTTATAGAAAGAGAAAAATCTTTGCATCTTTGAAGGTGTAAATAGTGATAAAGAAATGATTTCTAACAGAATCATGAACCTCATAGTTCATTGAGCTTAGGCTTTCCTTTGTTTCAAGAAACACCACAAATAAGCTTTCTTCACCAACTTTGGGGATCTTCTCTTTCATAGGCAGCATAAATGTCTCAAGCCTTCCCTTTGGCACCCTCCACCGCTTGGCTGGCTGAAACTTAATTTTGATGGCAGTGTTAGACAAAAAACTCAGAAGGCTGGCTTTGGTGGGATTCTTAGAGATCATGAAGGCAATGTCATTTTTTCTTTCTCTAGGGATTTATCTTTTTGTGATATTATAGACACCCAGATCTCGATTGGAGAAGTTATGGATAGGTTGAAATGTCTTAAGCAGAGTACTCGAGTATTTTAAACCATTTACCCCACTAGGACCCTTTTCTGTAAACCTAACCTCCACCAAACACTTATTGCCCCAGTGGAACCAAAGGCATCAAGAGACAAAACAAGGCGAAACAGACTCAGAACGACTTGACTATGAGGCCTTTCAGAAGGAAAGATTATGATGTTACCTCAAAAGGCACCAAAGCCCTACCAAAAGTCTAATGGCAAAGTACCAAAGGCACCTCAGTTGCAAAACATGTGACCCGGGCAAACAGCAGGTGCCCCTTCGATTGGCACTAGCGCCATTCCTACCAATGCCCGGACCGAGGCCACCAGATGAGCTCTAGAAGGCCCAGGAGGCTGGCGGCAGTGCCAGTGCTGCCATCGCCATTTCCATCAGCGCCAAGTCTTAATACCTTCACCAGGCGGGAAACAACCTGACTAATGTGAATGAAGTGATGGTCTGACATGTCAGTTCGTACGTGCCAACATGGCAGTCCCGTACTGATATGTCAGACATCAGTACGTCTCAAGGTTGTCAAACTCTCATTGGTTGATGATTAGATGAAGGTACAATCAAAACGACGTGCCAGCTAGTATCTGACGGTAGTCCCAATGCCACCGGTGCTAGTTGGAATAGCTTCAAGCTGTGATTAGTCCATTTGAACCAGATCAAAGTCACCAGAACATGACACGTGTCCAAAAATAGATCTGAAGGTAGTCGGAATGCCGTTGACTCCATTGCAAATGATGCCAAATTTTGACAGGTTGTACTAAAGTCATATTAATGAGCAATTAATATTTGCTAACCATCATTATTACAACATTAATGACATGACACCATTCCAACCTGCGCCAGCTCGAATCCAAGTGTTGCCAAAGTTTTGATGACCCGAAAATCACACAAAATCGACCTACAGGCTGTTATGGGTCCATTTTTCCTATAAATAACCCATTTTACGTTAGGTAAAAGGTCGGAATTCTCTTAATATTGAACCTAGGTTATGCAAAAAAAAATCTCTTGATCTTAAGCTTAAACTTGAGGTTGTGATCTCATGTAAGCAATCCCCAATTCTACCAAACGCCTTCAATCCAAAACTAAAGCTACAAATTCCTTCAAGCTACACTTCAAGCAGAAAGAGGTCTGGATAATCAAACCTTTCGGGCCCTCTTCTTCGTATTTCTTTTTGCCCCGTTAAAAATTGAGAAAGTTCGGGATTGATTGTGCAACCTTACAATCTGAATCGACGCCGACTCTGGGAGCCGGGCATGGGGGACTGGGCCTAAATGTTGTTTTCTTTCTCTTTTCATTGATTTTTCTAGCATTTACTTTTATACTTATGGTTTTCTTCTTTCCTTTCTTCATTTCATGATTAAACTTCTCTTTTCTTCTTCTTTTGATTCTTGCATTTATTGATCTTTTAATCATTGCATATAAGTTTCCCATATTTTCCCTTATTCATGATCTTATCTACTTTCCCTTGTTTTCTCCTTATTTATTATGCATAGTTAGTTATATTTAATGATTTCTTTCCCCTTTTCTTCTCATTGCATGATCATCTCCTTTTTTATTAGTTTGTATTTATTTCTTTTGTTTTATAGCATTTATTACTTTTCTTTATTTCTTTGTCTAGTAACATAGATATTCTCTTTTCAACAACCCCCATCATCTCTTATTCTTTTCATTAAATTGTCTCCCTTCTCTTCTTTGCAATATTTCTCCCCTGTTGGATTTTTTATGTTTATTCTTTTTTATTTTATTT